TGATACGAATATAAAATTAAAATATGGAGGAGTTAATATATAAAAACTAATTCTAATAAAATATTTAAATTTTAAAATAAATAATTCCATAAACTTATAAATAAAATCTATTTTAATGTTTTATATAATGCCCCTAAATAAAAATCTATTTTAATGTTTTATATAATGCACGAGTAGCTTTAGCATACTTTTTTATTGGTTGTTTTTTTCTACAAAGTTTTATAGAATGCACATATAGCTTAAACATAGTTTTTAATTGATTGATTTTTAAATTACCGCGAAAGTTTTTCGGACCTTTAGTAATAATAATTTTTGTCTTGCAACTTTTTTTTTATTTATATTCCTTAAATTACAAATTATTAATTATTGTTTAATAAAACAATAACTAATAATATGTAAATTTTGACTGTTATTATTTTTGCAGTAGTAAATTCATTGTTTTGCTTTTTCAGTAATTTTTGCAATATGATAAACTGATCGTTGCATTAAAACAGTGTTTACGGTTTTTTAAAAAACTAAATGTATCAAATATTTAATAAAATTAAGTAATATAGTTAAGAATAATAAATTTAGATAAAAAGTGTTAATTGTGTCAATAAAAATTGAATAGAGGAAGATAAAATTAACTCATAATTTTTTATACAGGACTGCTATAACTGTGTTAACTTAAACATTTAAACAATAAAACAACAACCTTTAAACATGTCAAAAGAAAAAGAATTTTTTTTCCAAAAAAATGACAAAAAAAAAAACAAAAAAACAAGAACCAAAAAATCTATGAATGAATTGATAGAAGAAATATTTAGATACATTGAAAATAGTGATGATTGTCAGTTTTTATTGGAAGACTTAAAAAGTATTTGAAAAAATCTGGATTTAGATTTTTTCAAATACTTTTTTTAGAAAGCAATAAACATAAACTTCAAGTAAGGTAATAAAATTGATATCACTGAAAAACCAGGCAGATTAACTTTCATTTGTTTTTTTGACAATCATTGCAATATTTTTAACCATGCTTGGTATGAGAAAAAAAAGCCAAAATAAAGAGGAAAAATGATTTCGAACCTTAAAAACTGCAGCAATAATCATTTTAAAGGACATCTAATTATTAATTAGTTTTTGATAATACCAGTTATCCCTCGCCTAGTCAAATGCAGTCCAAAGATATTACCAGCGATATTTCGGAGTCATAGTCTTTTTTTTTTTTGGAACAAGTAAAATAGTTTGGTTCAAATCACCTTATACAAATCTTTTAATCTTTTGGTTTATGCGCATCCTACAATGAATTGTATATATTTGTATATATGTTTTGTATGAATTGTATATAATTGTATATATGTTTTGTATGAATTGTATATAATTGTATATATGTTTGCGCCTTATTTAAAAATTAAACTAAGAGAAAATGGTATAAGAAATCTGATTGTGAAGAGATATGTTTTGCTCAAAAATAATATAAAGATTTATTAAAAGTATTGTTTACTTTATTTACTTAACATTTTAAAGACTTTATCTTTACTATTGGTTTCAACAATTAAATGTAAAAAAATGTTAAAACAAAACATTTAATGATTTAAAAAGTTAAATAATCTTTTTTTTAGATTTGTATAAAAACTATTTTGAAATTAGTAAAAAAAAACATGGTGTTTTTTATACTTGTTTTTCAACTTGTTTTTCCACGCAGCAGCCTTATATGTCAAGGTTTATGTTTTGGAGTACAGATTATAAGATTATAACCACAATTAATGTAGCCTCCTCAACTCTAGTGGCCTTTATGGCCTTGGCCAATGGAAATTCAGCTTGGGGAGCAGAATTAGCATAAAAATAAAAAAGTAAAAAACAGGCTTGGTCAAGAAATGGGTGTGATTGCACCCTATTCTAGACCACACAAATTATAATTATTTGCTATAATATGGCCACTACTTTTTAGATGTTTAAAGAACATGCAAGTTTATGTATGTTTCCATGTATGTCTGAAACGTTTTGACATACTGAAATGATTAAATTTGTAAATTACCTTTTTCATTTAAATGTTTTTATATTAGAAAAACTTAGCAATGATTTACTTTTATATATTGTTTATAAAAAGAAAATTTTTAGTTTTATTTTTTAAATTATAAAAAGTTAAGTAGATTTTATTAAAAATTATGTAACTAGTTATATATATAAAAATATAGATTAATTTTTTATTCTTTAAATGTAAATCTATGAAAAATATTTGTAGAATTGATTTTATAAAAATAAAAATACCTTCAACAACAACTGTGTTTTCAATAAAACTTAAAAAATAAAAATCATCAAAACTAATAAAATTAATAATCAAATAAACATACAGGAACTTCCACGCAAATGGAAATAAACATTCATATACACATAGTGAATTGTGAGTGGAATACTGCGCCAGAGGGTTGAAAAAAACATAAATATAATATTTATATAAAGTGACTTATGGGTCAAGTAGCACTGTGCCAGCGGTGTATACAGAACACAAACATACAAATATATGAAAAAGTCCATTCTCTAAACTTCATCAGCGATACTATGAAGCAGTTTTGCTTCCTCTTCATAAATATATTTTACCTTTTTAGTTTAACCATAAAAGATTGTATTATAATAATTTGATGCAATAAAAACATGCATCAAATGTTTTTTTACTAAACAAGCATTAATAGTAAGTTGTTACTTTGTTGTGGTCTGGACAACATACCTGTTATAGTCTCGCAAAAGTGTTCTCTGGAGCTTTTTTTTACACTTTCAAAACTGTTTAACAATGCTTATCTTGTTTTCAAGCCTACATCTGTTATCCCTATTTTTAAATTTCTAGAGAACGCTTTGACTTGTCTAACTACTACCCTATCATAAGCAAGGTTTTTGAGTCTTTAATTTTCAAACACTTAATCTCTCATCTTGAATCGCTCTTCTACATTTCCTGTAACTTCAAGGACTACTCAAGAATCTATCCTTGGCCCTATACTTCTTTTTATTTACATTAATTATCTCCCAGAAATTCTAACATCTAAGGTGGTGTTGTTCGCTAATGATATTACCATTTATTTTTGTCTTGATAAGAGTTCAACACTCTCTGATTGCTTGTAGGGGGCATTATGAGCTTGAAAACGATCTTGCTTCTGCTACAGCGTGGAGCGCTCAGTGGCTGTTGAACAATAACTTAGGCAAAACTCAAGTTTTTTAAGCTAATCGTTATCACAACAATCTAGATCTTCCTATATTTATGAACGGTAACGTACTTGATGAGTCACTTAGCCTTCTTCATCTAGGATTAACCTATACTGGTGATCTTTCTAGAAAAGTATATATCAAATCCGCTGCAAAATTAGCATCTGCTAAGGTTGCATCTCTTTATTCTACTTGCTATTTTATTACTTCAGGTTCTCAACTTTTTACTGTCACTATTTACAAGTGTTTCAAAAAAAAATTGTCTATTTTTTTCCCTTGAATATCAGTTATTCGATGTTAATTGTTATTTTGTTTTATAGTTACCATAGTTACATTTTTATAAAATAATTACCAAGAAATTTTACAAAAGAGTATGTTGTTTTAAGGTTTTATTAATTAAGTTTAATGGGATTTTTTTGAAGAGTTTGTTTAATTTCTAGATATCTAGATGAAAACTCACCCGTTACTGTTGATTTTGAAAACCCTGTCAATCAACCACTTACCCATAGTTGTAGCGTTGCATCTCTTTTCTACAAATACTATCATGGCCACACAAGTTATTTACTCCAGTTGTTTGTTCCACCAATCATAACTCAAGCCTGCATTACTCACTATTCAACCATTTTTTACTTTTTTTTTGTTTCTTCAGAAACAAAAATGCTGCTTAAACTCAAACACATTTCTTCGTGTTTTAAAAACTTTCTTTCTTTCATTTATCTAGACTCTTTCCTTGTTCATCAATTCTTTGGAATTCTCTCCTACCATAATTTTTTCCTGACTTTTAGAAAAATCAGTTTTTTAAGTCTTCTGTCGACCTTTTTTTTTTCTCTTAGAAATTATTTGTCATTTTATGATCCCAACTTATGTAGTGGTTGCTTCCATATATGTTAGATGAAAATTGATAAAAAAATGTTTCTGAATTTGAAGTGTAAATCAAGATTTGTGGCACTTCTATATGCTAAACGTTTTAAATGATATTTTTCAAGTTGTCTAGTTGTTAAAGAGGTTTTGCTTAAAGACGGTAATTTTAATTTAAAAATATATAGCATTAAATAAAACTATATTTATATATTTGATTTGAAAATAATTTGATTTAAAAATAGCATTAAATAAAACTATATCTGTATATTTGATTTGAAAATAGCATTTAAATAAAACTATATTTAGGCATTTATCTCTGTTTTTACTATATAGTTACTTATTATTTTCTTACCTTTTTCTTTAGTTTCAATTATTACTTAATTAAGTTATGGTTTTGAACAATATGTTCAAAACCATAAATTATTTAAGTAATAATAATTATTGTTGACTAAAAAGTTTAAAAAAAACTATCTTTAGGTATTGCTTTGTTTTTACTAAGAACTTTAAGTTTCATATTTCTTATTTTCTCAATACTTTTTCATAGGTTTCAATCCTTCATTGTTTAAAACCACTTATTTAAGTAGTAATAATTATTTTTAACAAAAGGTTAAAAAGAAATAAACTTTGTCAAACCATAAAAACTTTTACATCTTTTGTAGCATTTCCACATAAAATATTGTTAAGAAAGTAATTTTTTTGCATTTTAATTCAATTCAGTTTGTTAATAAAATGTCATTTAATGTTATTTAATTAAAATTCTGTTTGTTAATGTCATTTAAATGTTATTTAGATTAAATTTCATTGTCAGTTAATACTTTGCTATTGCTAGTAATAAAAGATTTGCTAACTAGACTATACATTGTTTTTTACATTTGTGCTTTTATACAGTTTTTGTGTTTCTTTGCTCACAAAAAAAGGTTTTAATGAAATTAAAAAGTTTATAATAAAATTGAATCATTTAGAAACTTTGAATTCATCACAAAGTTTTACCAGAACTTCTTCTAAGAAAGGTAATTATAATTTTTGTTTTATTTAAAATTACTCAACATTTACTTTTTAAATGTACTTCGTTACAGTGTTGTAAAAATAATATTTATTATTATTATTTTTTTTTTTTTTTATGCAAAATGTTTTTCTCATATCTTTTTGAATTAAAGATTTTTTTTTTTTGTACTTTTAGCTATAAAATTTAAAATCCTAAAAATGTAACACTTTTATGATATATATATATATATTTTTATGTTATCCTTTTTTAGTTAAGTATTAACTTTTTTTTATTATGACTAACATGCTTAGTTTTGCTGCTTGTTCTATTTTTGTTACAAATCAATAATTTTCTTTATTTCTTTAAATGAAGAAAATGCTTTAAAAACTAAAATAGTTTCCTTTTTGATTTACGTTCATTACAATTTTTTGAAAAAACAATTTTTGAGAATTCTTTTTTCTGACAAGAAAATGTTCTCAATGAAATATATAACTGTCAAAAGAATCAAGTCTCCGAATCAAGTTGATGCTGTTAAAAAGTTTGGTAAAAAATTATGCTTAGAAGTTTGTTCAGAAGGCGTAACATTTTTGGTTGTATTAAATAATGGCACAGTAAATCATCATTAAAGTATAATGACAAAGTTCTAGACTGCAGAAAATAACCTATTTAGAGATGATTAGATGTTTCAGTAAAGTGGATACCAAACCTCATGCACACAAACTTTCTCCAAAATAGTGTAACAATCGTTTTTTAGATTTATTGACAAAAATCATTGCCCAACAAATTCTCCTGACTCTTTAGACTACTTTATTTGAGACTAATTTGTTCACCAAATTAACTGGAGCAAAAAGTAAAAGAAAAATTTAGATGCAAAGCTCAAACAAGCTGTGAAAAAAAGTATAAAAATAAAAGCTGTGGTTCTAATTGGGAAAGAAGTTGTACTGGAGTGTAATAGAAAGTTGTAATAGAAAACATTAGAGATTTTTTACATTGATAAACTAACTGTTTTTAACTTTTAAAAGTAATTTTTTGAGAAAAAATTTAAATAGATAGAATGAAAAATTTACTGGATTAAAAGCAAAATAAAAATGTTTGGTTCTTTATGTGCAACAAATTATGTCCATTTATAAACAAGTTAGCTTAGTTTGGTTACTTGTTCTATCATTGTTACTGATCATTAATTTTGTTTTATGTATCAGTAGCTCATTTAAGTCCATATCATTGTGTGTATTATATCAATATTTTAAATATTCTCCACTAATACTGTTTGAATAACACAATTTTGTTATATTCATATATTAAATGTTACATTAATTAGATTTTCTTATAACAGTTATTATAATTTTTTTAAAATAGAGTTTTTTACTTTAGTACTTTTTTACTTTTCAGTTTATATTGATGAACTATAGTTTTAAAAGGGGGTTGTATCAACAATGTTTAAAAATTTAAACTTAAAAATTTATGGAGTAAATTTATTTAAAATTAAATATAAATATTAGAAGAAAATACTGACTTTGCACACGATAAGCATAACAGTAGATGTTCTTGGTTTTCAAAATACTAGAGAAAATTTCAGGATTTTTAGCATGTACAGTTGCATGAAAAGTATAAGAATTATCTACAAATTTTATTGATTTCACTGTTTAAAACATGTGTGTTTAAGTTTTTTTGTTAAGGTTTTTTAAATAAATACAAGTAGAAAAATTTTTTTTCATGTTATGTTATTATGTGAGTGTGTTTAGCTTTCTATTTACCTGATTTGAAAGTGGAACATGTAACGAAAACATAACGAGACCATACTAGACAGAGTGACTAGAGTGTTAGTTGGTTCTCCCTTTGCCCAGGAGCATTTAACTTCGTTTTTCACCTTCACAAAGTCTGATCACTCATTTTATATTTTTTTATGATTTTTATTTTTTATTCAATGACACCATCTTCTAACTGCTTTTATTGTCACATCTCTCAGGTCTACGAAACTGGAAGGCTCCGTTGGTCACTTTTTGCGATCATTGTGTCGCATAAACAAGAGGAAAAAAAAAAATAATAATAAAAATAATTATATAACTAGTTATATATATAAAAATATAGATTAATTTTTTATTCTTTTAATGTAAATCTATGGAAAATATTTGTACGATTGATTTTCTAAAAATAAGACCTTCAACAACTGCATTCTCAATAAAATTCAAAAAATAATAATCATCAAAGTTACTAATATATAAATATATAAAAAAACCCACATATATAAAATACACAAACATACAAATATATAAAAAAAGCCACTCTCTAAACTTCTTCAGCGGTATTATAAAGCAGTTTTGCTTCCTCTTCATAAATATATTTTATTTTTTTAGTTTAACCATAAAAGATTGTATTCAAATAACTTGATGCAATAAAAACATGCTTCAAATATAAAAACATTCTAAGGTTCTTAGTTTATAATAAACTGTTATAAAATACTTAGATTAAGATGAAAGTGATAAAAAAAATTCATGATAAAAAATACTTAAATTAAATAATATTAAAATTTTAGTTTTTTTAATTTATTTTAATTTATTTTAAAAGTTATTTTAATTTTTGTATTTTTTTATTTACTCTATTGTTAAGATTTCTTTTCTTAGTTTAAATTCAGATGTTTTTTATTTGTTAAATCAAGATTAGTTTTTTCAGCGCTTTTTCAGTTTTTTTTGAAATGTTAAAATTTTCAAAAGATATTAACAGCCATGTAGTTGCCAAAAAAAAAAGTTATTTTTCAACAAAAAAGCAGTTTTTTTGTTTTTTAAACTTGTTATCTCTCTTTAAGACAATGCTTAGCTGTTTGCTTATCACTTTTCACCATTCTTATTTCTTGTTTCCTCTAATCACATGATATAGCTGACTAACAGGGTAATCCATTGTTTGACATTCGTATCCCTTTAGCTTCTGTATCTAAAGTGATTTCCTGTTTAGACTTTTCTACAATTTGTGGTCTGGACAACATACCTGTTATTGTCTGGCAAAACTGTTCTCCGGAGTTTTTTTTTACACTTTTAAAATTGTTTAACAAGTGCTTATCAGAGTCTTGTTTTCAAGCCAACATTTGTTGTCCCTATTTTTAAATTTCTAGAGAACGCCCTGATTTGTCTAACTACTGTCCTATCATAAGCAAGGCTTTTGAGTCTTTAATTTTTAAACACTTAATCTCTCATCTTGAATCACTCTTCTACATTTCCTGTAACTTCAAGAACTAATCAAGGACTTATTGTTGGCCCTATACTTTTTTTAATTTACATTAATTATCTCCCAGAAACTCTCACATCTAAGGTGGTGTTGTTCATTGATGATATTACCATTTATTTTTGTCTTGATAAGAGTTCAACACTCTCTGATTGCTTGCAGGGGGCAATATAAGCTTGAAAACGATCTTGCTTCTGCTACATCATTGAGCGCTCAGTGGCTGTTGAACATTAACTCAATTTTTTTAAGCTAATCAATTAAAAGAAGAAAATCTCTTCAAATAATTCAAATAAACTTATTCTACTCCTGATTCTCATCTTTTTAATAATAATTTCAAAATAAGTATTTCAAAAAAAATGTTGTCAATTTTTTTTGCCTCGAACATCAGTTATTTGGAATCTCAAACTCAATTTTTATTTATTTATTCTACTAGCCATTTTAATACTCCAGATTCTCATCTTTTTTATTATTCAGATTTTTATTTTTATTTTTTTTTTGTTTGGAATTCGATGTTAATTGTTGTTTTGCTTTATAGTTACCATAGCTACATTTTTAAAAAATAATTACCAAGAAATTTTACAAAAGATTATGTTGTTTTATGGTTTTTTTGAATTTTTTTTAATCTATAGTATCTAGATGAAAACTCCCCAGTTGCTGTTGATTTTAAAAACCCTGTCAATCAACCACTTACCAATAGTTGTAGCACTGCATCTCTTTTCTACAAATAATATTATGGTCAAACAAATTACTCCAGTTATTTCCACTATAACTCACTTAACAACCATAACTCAACCATTCAACAAAGTTGTAATTTTTTCCTTTTTTTTTTTGTCACAAAAATAAAAAAATTCACAAAAAAAAAAAAAGTCACAAAAATAAAAAAATTGAGTTAATTACATTTCTCCATTTTATAAACTGAAATCTATAATCTATTAAAATATTAAATCTAAATAAAGTCCTAAAAATATTCAAGGGATATCTAAACATTTTCAAAACATGCTAAGTCAAACAGGTTTACAGCTTCAAAACTTACCAAGTCCGCAGCGAATCAAATGACGTTATGATTTTTTAACAACCAATGAATTATGTGTTCATATTAAAATTAGCTCACTTTTTGTTGGCGTTTCAGGTTTTATTTACCATATCACAAAATGACTGAAATTACACAACGTTTTATACCTGTAGGAGAAAAAGCTAGCCACTATCTTATTAAAGGTAATACAAGGAAAAGGTATTAATAGTGTATTTTTGTATTATAAATATTAAAGGTTTTATTCAAACGGAATCATATCAATTTATATGTATATATAATATATATATATATATATATATATATATATATATATTTATTTATATATATATTCATACATATATATATATATATATATATATATATATATATATATATATATATATATATATATATATATATATATATATATATGTATATATATATATATATATATATATATATATATGTATGTATGTATGATATATATATATATATATATATATATATATATATATATATATATATATATATATATATATATATATATATATATATGTAAATTAGTAGAAAATCACCTAACAAAATTTTTTTTTATTTTACACTGTGTTTCATCAATAAAGACTCATCAAAAAAAATTTTTTTTTTAGGCATGGACTAAAACCACCATCAAAACACTATTGCCAATATGAACTTAAAACCATATATAAATGCTCTGAAATAAAAGATGTTGACCTTTACCTTTTTAGTGCTCATTTTTATAATGCTATAAAAAAAAGGGACCAAGATAAATTTATATTAAAGTTTTTGTCTGTTCAGAAAAAACAACAATATAGAAAAAAAAGAGCAATTTTATACTAAAAAAATTAGGAGCAGGTCTAATTGTGAAACTAGTTATTTTTGGAAAAAGAAAACAGACAAATAGTGCATGTTTGCAAAGACACTTTTTTAACATGCTTACATGTTGGTAAAACTTGTGTTCAAAGCATTGCAAAACATTTCTTTACGCATGGTAATCCTAGAAAAGAAAACAGAGGTGGTGATTAAAAAAACCATAAATTCAAGGATAAGCAAAAGGCTGTGATAGAATTTATAAAGAGTCTTCCTGGAAAAGAAAGTCATTATAGTAAAAGGAAATCTATAAAATTTTATCTACCATCAGAGCTTAAAAGTATTAAAACAGTATGGAAATTATATGCAGAAAGGGAACCCAATTTAATTTAGGGTTTGGTTCTCCTAAATCAGATGCATGTTTATTTTGTGAAAGAATTCGAAACCAAATGCAGATTGAAAATGACTCAGAAAAGAAGAACAGTTTAATTACTGATTTAGTTGTTTATAAGCATAGAGCAAATTGTTTATAAGCATAGAGCAAATGCATTCTATGATCTTTTAAAAGAAAAAAAAGATAGTTTAAAAATTATTTGCTTTGACCATCAACAAAACCAAGTAATCCCTAAAATTCCAGATCAGCAAGCTTATTATAGTAGACAACTATACATATACAACTTTTATGGTATAGAAAATAAAAATAACGGATCTTTAAATCAAGATAATGTCACTATCTATACTTGGAATGAAAGCGATTTCAAAAAAAAATAGCTCTTCTTTTTCCAGTGCAGTATTTGACAAGCTCTGCAATACAAACATGGATGGCATAGACACTGTTCATTTAGTTTCTGATGCATGTGGTGGTCAAAATAAAAATGTTGCTTTAATTTATATGGTAGGCTTCTGGCTGTTAAGACATGCACCAATATTAGTAAAATATTGCTGCATGTCTTAACAATATATATTTTCCAGAAGAGTACTATAATGTTTACAGTAACCAGGGAACAGTGAAAATTGCAGGAAAAGACTGGAATGTGTTGGATTTCAAATTAGTACCTTTAAGAGTTTTTAAAAAACCATTGCCAATCAAAATTCAGGAAAATAAATGCTTTTTTATCACAAGAAGATTGCCAAAAAATATTAAAGTCTAAGGAGAACCAAATATTAAGTTTTTTCTTAACAGTCCTCAAATTATAACAAAAAGAGGTCATGATTGTTGATCTTGTCCATCTCAGATCCAGAGAGGAGTCCCAGTTTCAGAGGTTAAAAAGAAAAATATCAAAAGTTTGATTCTTGTGCATGCAAGAGTAAATTAGGAGCAAGATAATCATTTTAATTTTTTAAAATGTTTTGTTAATGATTCTTTATAATAAAAAAACGTGTAGAAGACGAGGAAGATACTAAATGCAGCTGTATTGATGAGGATGCTGTATGCAGACATATTTAACTTTTTGATGTATTTATTCTTTTTTTTTATTTAAATTATTAAATTTTTTTAATTATTAAATTTTTGTTGTGTTAAAGATCAATTTCTTAATAAAAAACTAGGTTTTTATTGTAGTCTTTTCTTAATTCCCTATGTTTTAAATTTCCTTTTCGATACCTTTTTTATAATATAATTATAAAGAAGTTTATAGTTCGTGTAGATTAAATCCTTCAAAACATTTTAATTAGTTTTATTAAGCAAATGATCCATCTGAATTCAACCAAACATTTTCAAAATAATCTAAGTATGTCTGAAATATTCAAATTAAGCTAAGTCCGAATTTCAACAAGGTTTATTTCGAGATTCTAAAGAGTTTCATTTTTTTTTGTGCACGTAATTTAATTGTCTCTACTTGATAATGTAAAATTTTTTAAATTACGTAAATTTTAATTAGTGTAAATTTAACAAACACAATTTTTTTGGAGCGCTAATTAAGCCTGGGCACGTTTTCCTTTGATTTCTCAAAATCAAATTACTTGGACTTATGGCGTTTTGCAAATGGGTTCCTCAATTGTTAAAAAAAAAACTATATATAAGCATTTAGTTCTGTTTTTACTTTTTTAGAACTTTTAGTTTCATATTTCTTATTTTCTCAGTACTTATTTCATAGATTTCATATCTATATTGTTAAAAACCACTTATTTAAGTAATATTAATTATTTTTAGCAAAAAGTTTAAAAGAAATTAACTTTGTTGAACGATAAAAGTTTTATAACTTTTGTAGCATTTCCACATAAAATATTGTTAAGAAAAAAAAATTTTTGCATATGAATTCAATTCAGTTTGTTAATAAAATGTCATTTAATGTTATTTAAATAAAATTTTTATTGTCAATTAATACTATTGCTAATAATAAAAGATTAGCTAAGAAAACTATACATTATTTTTTTATTTGTTCTTTTATCCCGTTTTTGTGTTCCTTTGCTCAAAAACAAATGTTTTTTAATGAAATTAAAAAGTTTATAATAAAATTGAATCATTTAGAAACTTTGAGTTCACCAGAAAGTTCTTCCAGAACTTCTTCTAAGAAAGGTAATTATAATGTTTGATTTATTTAAAATTACTCAACATTTACTTCTGAAATGTTTTGTGCCGCAAAACATTTTAAATGTCAAGTACTTCGTTACAGTGTTGTACAAATAATATTTATTAATTTTTTTTTTATGCTAAATGTTTTTCTCATGTCTTTTTGAATTAATATATTTAACATATTTTGAATTAACATATTTTTTTTTTGTACTTTTAACTACAAAATTTAAAATCCTAAAAATGTAACATTTTTTATGATATATATATTTTTATGTTATCCTTTTTTTAGTAAGATATTAACTTTTTTTTTATTATGCCCTACAAGCTTAGTTTTGCTGCTTGTTTTATTTTTGTTACAAATCAATAATTCTCTTTATGTCTTTAAATAAAGAAAATGCTTTAAAAGCTAGTTAAAAAATAGTTTCCTTTTTGATTTACGTTCATTACAATTTTTCAAAAAAACAATCTTTGAGAATTCCTTTTTCTGACAAGAAAATGTTCTCAATAAAATATATAACTGTCAAAAGAATCTAGTCTCCAGATCATGTTGATGCTAATAAAAATCATGGTATTAAATTATGGTTGGAAGTTTGTTCAGAAGACATGTTTTTAATTGTATTAAATAATTACACAGTAAATCATCACAATACATTGATGAAGTTCTAGATTACAGAAAATAACTTATTTAGAGATGATTGGATGTTTCAGTAGGGTGGTTATCAAACCTCATACTCAAATACCTCATAAACTTTCTCCAAAGTTGTGTAACAATTGTTTTTTAGATTATTTGACAAAAATCATTGCCCAACAAATTCTCCCGACCCTTTATAAACTACTTTAAGACTAATTTGTTCACCGAATGGAGCAACTGGAGCAAAAAGTCAAAAAAAAATTTAAGTGCAGAGTTAAAGCTAGCTGTGAAACTAATTGGATCTAATTGGGAAAGAAGTTGCACTGGAAACTTGTAATAAAAAACATCAGAGATTTTTGACATTAATAAACTAACTTTTAAAAGTAATTTTTTTTAAAAAAAATTTAAATGGATAGAGTGAAAATCTTACTGGATTGAAAGCAAAAAAAAAATGTTTGGTTCTTTATGTGCAACAAATTATGGGCATTTATACAAGTTAGTTTAGTTTGGTTACTTGTTCTATCATTGTTACTGATCATTAATTTTGTTTTATGTGTCAGTAGCTCATGTAAGTTTATATCATTGTTTGCAATATTTTAAATATTCCCAACTAATATTGTTTGAATAACACAATTTTGTTATATTCATATATCAAATGTCACATTAATTGATTTTTTTTAGAAACTTAACTTAATGATAATAAAAAAAATTGAATTAGTTATTTCAATTTTTTTTAAATTGAGTTTTTTACTTTATTTTTTAGTTTATATCGATGAACTATACTTTTAAGAGGGGGGTTGTATCAACAGTGCTTAAAAATTTAGATTTTAAAAAATTATGTAGTGAATTTGTTTAAAAATAAATATAAATATTAGAAGAAAATACTGACTTTGCACACAAAGAGCATAACAGTAGATGTTCTTGGTTTTTATAGTATTAGAGAAAGTTTCAGGATTTATAGCATGTACAGTTGCATGAAATGTATAAAAATTATCTATAAATTTTATAGATTTCACAGTTTAAAACTTGTGTTTAGGTCTTTTTGTTAAGTTTTTTAAAATTTTATTTTAAAAACCTTCACAAAATAACTTAAAAAAGATCTTAGCCATTGAACTAAACATGCAAGATCATGTTCAGGATTCTTATTGAGTTTTTTGAGCATTTTTTACATACAATAATTAACATCATTAGCAAAATGATGTTTTAGAAAGTTTTACACATATGCAAGCCTTCCTGGGAAGCGTGTGCAGTCTCATGCTTTGTTTGTCCACGTTTAAAGTAATTTTTTAAACAATTTGATGTTTTTATATAATAAGCTTTTTAAGAATTTGGAAAAAATTAAAAAAAAAAACTTAAAAAAAGCAGATAAGAATATAAAAAAAATAAAAACATTCTTTGATATACACTTTATTTGTGGCTTTTGTTAGTCAGCATATTAAGGAAATTATTTTTACTAGAAATATAGACAAATTTAAAGTTTTTTTCAAAAATGTTTTTGCTAAATTTTACTGTTTTTATCAATAAAAGCAGGAAATCAAGAAAACTAAATGCTATTTATTTGTAAAAAATATTTTTTTAATTTTTTAACAAGTTTATCATGTAAAAAAAAAGTCATTAATTCTAATATTCAAATATAAAATATTTGCTTGTTTTCACTACCCCCATTGAAATAGTCTGCACTTTTGTTGGACTCTCTAAATTGTGCATTTAAACCCAATAGTTTTTTTCCTGATGAACTATTGTTATTAGCGATGCTCCATGCTCCTAAACAAACAATCATGTTCATTATCTTTAGTATTTTGTAAAACAATTTCAGACAGGCATCAAATGTGGTAAATACATTTATCAAAAAAACCATGCAATTCTTTTATTTAATTTTTTTAATTACAAAATTTATTATTCAAATAATAAAATTAAAAATAAATAGTAAACAAATAAATTTAATTTCTTATTTTCATAATACATAAGTATTGAGAAAAAATGTCAAATATAGCAAAGTCATTTTTAAAAGCCAAAAGATATATAAACGCGAAAAGAAAAATTAACAAAATTTCTCATAGTTCCAGCATACATAGCAAATTAATTTCTTAATTATATGGGCGGATAAAAATCATGAATAAGTTGCATATCAAAATTTTAAATTGTTATTAAATTGTTATAAAATGTTTCTTTCCTCAACTTGTATAAGTTTCTTTTGCTAAAAATAACAACCACCCTAAAAAAAAAAGAATACAAAAGCTGTATAAAAATTTAGAGAAAAATGTTTTTTAAATTTTTTTATTTCAAATTTCTAAATATTTCTAGTGTATTTAATTTAAATTTAATATTTTGTTACGAATTTGTTTACTTCTTTATGGCTGTTTTTTTTACTCAGTAAATAAGTTTAGCTTTTTAATGCGAATTATTAAATGCTAAAATATTAAATGACTAAAAAGTTAAAAGATGCAAACTGCCGTGGTCAATGTGTCTAAAAAAATTACTTCAAACGTGGACAAACAAGTTGTGCAACCACAGGCGCTTCCCGGGAAGGCTTGCTTTCCCAGGAAGGCTCTTCTTCTTTAAGAAAATTTGAAAAAAATAAAAAATAAAAAATAAACTTAAAAAAAGCCAAGATATAAATCTCAATTACAATAAAAGAATGTAAAAAATAAAATTATAAATAATAAATCTTGTTTTTAAAATTATAGTCTAAATCTTTTTGTTAAACATTTCAAAATTTAATGACATTTTTTCAAATTCTTGCTCAGAAAATTGACATTGTGCAACCAAACTATTTACTTTTGCTAAAACATTTCAGAATTTCTAATGAATTTAATACCTGTTATATTTTCAGTACGCCATTTAAACATTTTATTGACAGATAATATTTAGTTATTTTGTTTTATGGTCCCACCAATGGACAAGTTGTTTTACAAGTTGTTTTATGGTCCCACCATTACAAGTTGTTTTATGGTCCTACCAATGCCATCACATGAACTTTTTACAGTGACAAAAAAACGCCACTCTGTACATATATACCATCGCCTTGAAATTGATGACATAGGTTGCTAAGAGTTTTATAGCTTTTGTAATGGCTAGCTGCTCCATCACTAAAGTAATAACATAAGAACAAATTTTTATATCTTTTAAAGCTCTAGCTAAAAATGCATTAACAGCATTAGCACCATGTTGCTTACAGTCAGGTTTTATGCTTTAATTTATTGGTTTGAGTTTATTTTCAGGTCTTTGTAGTAAATAACAATTGGATGTAGTGTTGCTTGGCTAGTATTCCAATGAAATCCTTGAACTGTGTCTTGTGCTACAAAACTATAATTTTCTGCAAAATCAAACAAAATAATAGTTTGGTTTTGTTGAATTTTTTTTTCAAAATTTGAAGGAGTAACAACTGTGGCTTTAAAATAAAATGGTGTGATCACAAGTTTTCAATTGTAGAAACAATTTTTTCAAGAAACTCTTCTAACAGAAGTTCTAAAGTAAGTTAACTAATAGCGTCCTCCTTTTTTAACCACTGTTTGTACAGCACTACATATTCATATACAAAACCATGTTGATTACGATATCACTTATATTCTGTTTTGAGTTTTCCACATTAGGGCAGTTATCACAACTATGAAGCATACAGCTACGATTCTCAATGTCACATGCTGTTTTTAATAAAAGTTCTTTATATTCAATGTTACTGGAAATCAACTTTGAATTTTGTACTTGACAAATACAAACTAAATGCACACTAGATGCACTATCTACTGTGACAAATCATTTCAAACAAAGCTAACAATACTTTGAAAATTCTAAATGTAGCTTTTTTAGATTTACAAATAATAATCACTTTTGAATATGTTGTTTTTGACCATCAATTTTAACTGACACAAATTTAGGACACAATAGCAGGACAAATCCAAGAATAATCTTCACTCTGATAAAAATTCTTGACATTTGTTTTAAGTGCTTATGATATCTTATTTCGAGTAATTTTTTTACACTCTCCTAAGATTCTCCAACTGTTTGGTGTTATTGTTAATAGATTTTTTTTTTTTTTGATGTTGATGTTAATAGGTTTATTCTGTTTGATTTAGAAATTTTTTACTTAATGGCTGCACAAAATAAATCTTAGTCTGTTGTTTTTTTTGAAATTTTCATTGTTTATTGAGCAATTTATAAAAATTTCATTATAAGAAATTCGGCAAGAATTTGAAACCTCCTTTAACTTTTTTTTTTTACGTAACTGGGTCTGTCTTGAATAGACACTAATTTAAATGGAGAACAACCCAAAATCCTAAATGTTTTATTTGCATTTTTAGAATCAGTTGTAATTTATGATGTTTTGGTTTCATCATCAATCCTTTGTCTATCATATAGCATAACTTCATTC